TGGGTCAGTCAGCGCGCCTTGTCTGCGTGCCTTCCCAGACATCCCCGCTCCGTCGCCGCACATGTCAGCCGCCATTTTTCGGAAAAATTTTCGATTCGCGCGTCCGAAGTAGGCTATTTTTCGGATTCGAAATTTTTCCGATATTCGACTCGAATTCTACTTCGGCTACTTCGATTCTCTCATCTCTAATTACCACCAGTCACCTGGCACGTTTTTCACGAAATAGACTTTTTATCAGAATTTCATTATCTTTTGTGTACATCAATTTTTATTATCTTATGTGTATCCTATTTTATTTTCCATTTAGTGCTGCACTGTCTTTTGTTTATTCTTTTTTAAGTGCATATTGGTTGCTTAGAGTGCATAGCTGCTTTTTTTGGGTCAGTGCTCGCTTTTACCACTATTTACTATATTCTTCAGTTTGTACAGAACTATTCCTGTACAATCTTTCAGTGCAGCTGAGGATTCAGAGATGGAAGATGAGGGCTGTGTCTCCAATCTCCTTTCTCTGTCCCAAAGGTGGAACATAAGAGGTCTGTTTAGACCTCTGATATCTCACCAAAACACCCCAAAGGGGCTCCTAAAAAAATTGTAAAAAATATCAGAAATAAAAAGGTAAAAACAAATTACTGTCCAGGGTCTCAAAGATTGCACTTGCAACTGGGCCCTGGCTTTCCACCACCGTGGGGGGCAAGACAGCAGGAAGGGGGCCGCTACAGAACAAGTGAAAGGGTCCAACGGGAGTAACAATCAGTGAGAAGGGCCCTGGGCCTGGAGGGAAGGGCCCTGCTGGAGGTCAGCGGGGCCTTTTATTGTTTATTGCACCGGGGGCCCTGAAGGTTCTAGTTACACCTCTGATACCTGACAAAGCTTTTTACAGTGCATTGTGTAAGCCATGACCAAAAAAAGTCGAGAAAAGAGCAAATGACTAGTTTTCAGTAATACCTGTAGGCTATCCACATATTTTCCTCAGGAATGACTTACCATGTCTCATTCTATGCTGTGTCTCAATGTGGCAGGTGAAAGCTTGCAGGAGGAGCAGAAGAGGACAGTTTTATTGTCTTAAATCAAACCTGCCTTCCCTGATGAAGTGGAGGGAGCACAGATCCACCTACAGAGGCAGCACTGGTGGGGTAATGGCCATGAGGCAGCAAGAGACACAGAGAGGCTATAAATCCACAGACTGCAACATTACAGAAAGGGTGACATTAGGATGCAGAAGAAGAGGAGTAGCTGGCCAGATCTTTACATGGAGCAACACATGGGGAAAAGAAAAATCAGCAGGCAACAGAAACAGTGGAGGATAATTTGTGCTACTTACCTGGATCACAATGATTGGGCTAGAAGCAAGGAGAGCCTTGCACTACAGCTGCTCAAATGCAGCTTCTTCTCCAGCAGGCTTTCAGAAGACCAATGAGTAATGCAGTAGTGACATCCACAATTGTAACTACAGTACTCAGGAAGACATTCCAGTAGCAATCATCAAACTCAGGAGTGGGTGAGATTTGCCTGAGATCAGGGGTCTCAAAATTTTCTAAACAAAGGACCAGTTTAGATTCCTTCAGACTTTAGGAGGGTTGGACTGGGACCAGTGGGATTAAACAATGTCTTCACATCAGTGGGAGTAGGCAATGTCTCATACTTGGTGGACAGTGGGAGAAAAAAAAATACATAGTGCCTGTGGTAAGTAGGAGGAGGAATAGTGCCCCATCATTGCTATTAATAGGAGGAATAATGCCCCATAATTGGTATTAGTGGCAGGAATAGTGCCCCATCATTAGTATGAGTGAGAGGAATAATGCCCCATCATTGGTATTAGTGGGAGGAATAGTGTTCTATCATTGGTATCGATGGGAGAAATAATGCCCCATCATTGGTATTAGTGAAAGGAATAGTGTCCATTCATTAGTATTGGTGGGAGGAATAGTATCCCCATCATTGGTGCCAGTGGGAGAAATAGTGTCCCATCATTGGTATCAGTGACAGGAGTAGTGCCCTATTGTTAGTGTTAGTGAGAGGAATCTCTCCTTTATTGGTATCACTCTGAGGAGTAGTGCCCCATCATTGGTGTCAATGGGACAAATAGTGTCCTGTTGTTGATGTCAGTAGCAGAATGGTTATCATATGGTTGTGATTGATATTTTGGTGAGCTGTAAATATTGATAAATATTGTGTGTTAAAAATTGTTATAAGTGCATCATTGGTATGAGTGGGAGGAATAATGCCTCATCATTGGTATGAGTTAGAGGCATAATGTCCCATCATTGGTATTCGTGAGAGGAATAGTGCCCCTTCATTGGTATTACTGGGAGGAATAGCATCCCATCATTTATATCAGTGGAAAGAATTATGCCTCATCATTGGTGTCAGTGGAAAGAGTAGTGACAGATCGTTTGTGTCACTGGGAGGAATTGTGCCTCATATCAGTGGTGGGACTATTGCTCCAAAGGCTGGATAACTGCAAGCAAAGGGCCGCATTCAGCCCATGGGCCACAGTTTGTAGACCACTGTCTTAGATGACGTGCAGATTCAGGAGGAGGAAATGCCTTGGCACAGTCAAATATCAGGAAATGCACCAAAATTTCTCACGAGGAATTCAAATCAATAGATGCATCTTCCCTAAAAGACAGCAAATCTTTACTTTTATGAATATATGTCTGTTTTAAAATGGTGGCATTCATACTCAATTTACCATTACATTATAATATGAGTCTGGACACTGACAGCATCATGAGAAAATAGATCTATCCACCCATCCATTTTCAGACAGCTTCATTGTTTATATATTGTGGGAGTCGCATGCTGAATGTGGCAGTCCAGACTTCTTTTGCTTTGTTACAGACTCCTCACCTTAAAAGATATACAAGATATTTATTCTAATTTAAGAAATATGAGTCTGATGAAATATACCTTTCTATTTCTTTTTTGTTTGCAAGTCTTTGCTTGGAGCTGGGTACAGAAGCAGTCTTTGAACGCATTTATGTGTTGGAGAAAGATTCAATTAAAAATCTTGCATAAAACACGCCAAGCATTCAACTTTGTACATATATCACCATCTTCGATATTGCTATCTAATTTTCCAAAATGCCATCTTGATAAATCTAATTTTATTCAGCTATGATGGCAGTGCCCAATAATAGAGAAATTCTGGCAACAGGTTATACATCTTATGAACATTTGGCTCTTCTAGGTCTTTGTGTCCAGCTATGTACTTATTACTTTTTGAAAGTGAACACAGGTGGCACTTAGTAGGAGGAATTTTTTTTGAGGATTTTAAGGCAATTATATTTAGACCAGGGACAGACTGACAACTCATGGGGCCCTCGGGCAATAGGGGATCATGGGGCCCCTGTGTCCTTGCCCAAACTCAAAAAAAGCCTATGAAAAACGTACCAGGGGCCCTCTACTGACCCCGGGCCCTCGGGCAGTTTCCAAATCGTCATTCCGCCCCTGATTTATGTATGATAGATCAATTGGATTTCCAGAGAAATAGGGAGACCTGCATAGAGAAATTTCTTGATACCTGGTCTAGCTATATGGTTAAGAAGCTGCCTGCAGATCAGCTCTGGGAAACAGTGACCACCTTTCAATACACTACATGGTATAATATGGAAAAATGAAAGGGCACTCTGGCATTGCTGGAAATATAGTAGTCTTATTGTTTCTAATGTCCTCAACCTAACTAGTTTTATTTTCTACTACCATCATCTTAACTCCTTGGTGCAAATATGCGGCCTCTTGGCAGGTGGTCCTTGGCACCGAGGAGCCACATATTTGCATATCCAATGTAAACAAAACATGTGCGGAGAGCGTGTGCCCTGTGCGCTCCCTTCACATTTACCAGCACCTCATGGAAAGATCCCGGTTGCTACTTGTGGTCGGGAGCTTTCCAATCATGTGACCACAATGACAGCCAATCACGGTGGTGACATGACCCTTAACCCTGCCCCGCCTCCTGGCATCACAAACGCCTTAAAGAGCCAAGAGGTGCCAGGGCCAAGGGGTTCAGTATGTATTAAACAAACTGCAATTCTATACTAGTTTTTGTAAGCCTAATATACAGTATATAATGGCTGGAGATATAGGGTATGGAATCAGAAATACAGCAGTGTTTTGGGGTTTTTTTTGTTTTGGTTGTTTTTGTTTTTATGTTTTTTGTGCAGTTTTCTTATAGTTGTTTGTTAATGTTTTATTAATGCTACATTAATTTATCTTGATAGGTATTCTTTTATTGATATTTTTTTTTACATGGTCCTTGGGTATGGAATTTCCTTGCTAGGTGTGATAGCTAACAACTATCTATTGTAATTATATTTTTTTTCAGTTTTTTAAAATTATAATAACAATGAAATAAAGATATATATGCTAAAAGGTTCTATACATTCCCCACTTATTAAACTAACACTATTCAGGGGCCATGTACACTGTCTTAAAAAATGCTGCTTCTGCAGGAGTTGTGCGTTCTGCTTGTGAAGACAGCTCAGTGTTTTCCTATGTTATGTTATCCTTACAATCACCATAAAGACACAATATTACATTAGGCAAGTTGCACAAATGTACATCTCCATGCAATCATATTGGATGAACAGTGCCTTAATAAGGAAAACAGAGGACGGCAGGAAACTAGGAATCGTGACATAGACATATAAAGAGTAAGGCTCCATGTACACGAGACACTTCTGAACGATGGAAATTGACTGCTGGAAAATGTAGGTTAAAAAAACATCTGTTTAGCCGCGTTTGCATAACGCATTTTATGCGCGTTTATGAGTGCTTGCGTTTAGAAGCGTTTTTTAAAGATAACCTCAGGAGACCTTCCAAAATGCCCAGAGTGCACTGAAAACAGAAAAAAATTAACTATTTCAGACATTTTGAGAGAAATAGAGAGAGCAGAAGCAGAGAGAGCAGTATTTGTTGAGATTAGCTGTGTTTTTTTGTTTTTTTTTTTGTGGTGTTTGGATGTGTTCCAGCTCATTTCTGTGCAGAAATTATTGCAGCAGTGTCTAACATATTTTCTTTCATGCGAAACCTCAAAGTATGGTGTACCAGGTCCATTTGAGTACCGGGAAAACGCTTTGCATGCATTTTTCATGATGAAAAATGGCTCTGGACAGCATCTGGAAATGGAAGAGTTAAAAAAAAATTCAAACGCAAATGCTTATAAATGCAGTTAGCTGCGTTTAGCCACGTTTACAAGCATTTGGCATTTGAAACGCTGATAAAATCTACTCCTGAACGCAAGTTTTCTGCGTTGAAAAAAAACGACTTTAAACCCAACTGCCTCTAAACGACGATGTGTACATGGCAGGGGCGGACTGACCATTTGGAAACTCGAGCACTGCCCGAGAGCCCAGGGTCAGTAGGGGGCCCCATGAGAAGTCCCTGGTACCTTTTTCATAGGCTTTTTTTTTTGAGTTTGGGCAAGGATACAGGGGCACCATGATCCCCTATTGCCAGGGAGGACCCAGGAGTTGTCAGTCCGCCCCTGGTACATGGACACACAGGAAAACATTAGGGAGAATTCAGCGGCTGCTGAAAAAAATGCTGAACATCTCCTAAACATGATTTTATCAGCTGCAGTGTGCATGAACCCTTACAAAAAGTGGGGACAATACCATACAGACAAACAGAAGATAAGGCACAACAAATGATGTTGGACGTACATAGTGCTGCCTCAATGGTTACAAAAAAACAAAAAATGACCAGCAGAAAAAATGCACGCAGACAAAAAGGCCCCAAGAGCATACGGAGAGAGAGAGAAAAAAGAAAAAGATGTGTGGCGAGGAGAGAGTGGAGAAGAAATGGAGGAAAAAGAAAGGAAAATTTGAGGAGGGGAGGGAAGGATGGAAAGACCAAAGATACCAACCAAAGGGTAATCCAAATGGGCAATTGCATAAAAATGAACAATTCACATGCTACAGGAAAAAGAAAAAAAACAGATAAGGATCAAAGAAGGTGGTCACACTAAAATCAACCAGAGAAACCGCACAAAAGGCTTTCATGCAACTGCAGGAGTCAGCATCACTGAGGAGAGATAAAGGACGCAGGAGCAGATACTATCGATTTCACAGCATCTGAAGAGGAAAAATGTATCCAGATATACCACAGAGTTTTACATTTGTCAAAAGAATCGGATTTCTGGGTCAACAGCTCTTCCATCCGCATGATAATAGTAACCGTAAACACCAACTGCAAAAGGGGCTAGAGGCATATTTTAAGCTCAGCGTTTAGAAGCAGATAAAAAAAACTTTCTGGATTGCATTTTTGAGAAGAGTTTTCAGGCAGAAAAAAAACGCTAAACACATGTACAAAAATTCTCTATATGAGTGATTTTTTTTCAGCCAAGGGAACTGGCATTTTTTATGCTGAGTGTGCATGGACCCTAAAAGCTTTGGCTGGAGTTGGGCTTTAGGATAGGCATGTAGTGGTGAACTTCTTCACAAGACATCAACAATTCCTGATAAATCCTTCCTTTGTCAGAGTTTGATATAATGCCTAATTGTCTATTACACATGGTTATTTTGCTAGCTAGGGTAGTTAATGGGGAGTCACTGCAGTTTAATGTCTTGGTGGTATAATAACTTAAAACACGTTGTGTACTTTATAGAAAGCAATTTCATTTCTTTTTCCTGGCATGAAGAGGACTATTCATTTTCACAGAATTATACTTGCGTTTTTCTTCCTGTTGAAGATCCAATTAAGAAACAAAATCTTTGATGAATTGCTCTATGTACCTTTTAAGATTTACTACACCAATTATTACTGTTTGATTTATATATTAACAACTATGCTTGCAGCTTTTCAAAGCATCAGCATACAAATAAGTCAATATGGTAATGATGAATGCAGAAAACACGGATAAGAAATGAAACAGAAAAATTTGAATAGGAAGGAAAGAATAGACAGGGGAAGAATGTTAACAATATATAGTGTATGTAAAGTCAAAACTTTTTTTTTTACTTTTGGACAGTGTGGATAATAACTAATACCCCTGTGTTGTTGTGTGTGTCCTGTCGGGGAAATCCTGTTCTACTGCTAGAAGTAAGTGGAGATCCCCTCTTATACAGTTGTCATCAGACCAGGTGTCCCCTTCCACTAATTTCTTGTTCCTGTGACTACTCAAAAATTTGGTATTTCCCTTCAGAGGCAATAGCTATGAGGACCAATAAAGGAACTTTTTTAAAGGGGCTGCAATCAACAATAAAAACCTAACAGAGGTTCTATCCAATAATAAAGGATTTGGGCTTTACATATACATTAAGCGTAATTCCATAAAAGTAAAGCTAGGTCAGATGGAGATTTTGACCTTCATTCTACATGACTTTGGTAGGGGGACAGTAAAGTGTATGTAAACATTAACAATCCACTTCTTCCTTGCTCTCATTTGGTCTGGTAAAGTGACACTAAACTCTGGTATTAACACAAAATTTCTAGCAAAGTATAAATTCTTAATGCAAAACAGTGCCTTCCATTGCTTTCGGCCTCCCCAAAATCTCCAAATTCCTTTTTTTGTTGTTGTGATCTGAGTTCCTCTTAGAAGGTGGCTACGTTCATTCTCCATGGTACCACTGTATGTAGTAAAGTGTAGGAATGTAGCCACCCTCCCTTGCTCTCTCCCAAGATGGACTAGGGACAATGGGATTTATAGTGCACTGCTTGTTTCAAACAAGCTACAGAACAACTCCCCACTATGTTTTGGAGATAAGGTGAAGGGGAAGTGTTATTTAACTTCTTGCTGCCTACCCACAGTAGTTGTACTGCAAACGGCCAGCAGCTCCAGGCTGGGCAATGTATCTGTATGCCACAATCTTTCTTCCGGGTTTGGGGCGCACATACATGCGTCCCCTGTAGACCCATACTGTCAATGATTTTGGCTGAAGTCAGCTGATCGGCTTTTCAAAAACACACAACTCTGTGTACTGTGAACAGCAATCTGCCTGTTTCTTCTCCCTTTCTCCCTCCTGCAAGGAGAGAAACCAGACAGATAGTAAAGTAAAAGCGGCACATATTACACACAATAAACATTGCTAGGCACACAGTTACCCTTTTGATTGCCCCTAGATGCTAACCCCTTCCAGGAAAGTGTCATTAGTACAGTGACTGTGTACAGTATTGACACTGATCACTGTATTAGTGTCACTATTGATATCAGTGTCAGTTAATCAGTTAGTGTACCTCCCAGCCAACATCAGCTAGCGCCAGATTGCCCACCACTCTATCACAGTCCCATTATAAGTCGCTGATCACAGCCATTACCAGTATTGTGTCATAGCTGTGTAAATTCCATTGAATCCACCATAGTCACGTAGATTCTATAACTTTCACACAAATAAATTAACTACTTGCCCTCCAGAGGATTTACCCCCTCCCTGACCAGGCATTTTTTGCGAAACGGCACTGTGTTACTTTAACTAACAATTGTGCGGCCATGCAATGCTGCACCCAAATTAAATTTATGTCATTTTTTCCTCACAAATATTGCTTTCTTTTAGTGGTATTTGATTACCTTTGCGTTTTTTCTTTTTTTTGCGCTATAAACAAAAAAGGACTGTCAACTTTGAAAAAAACCACAATCATTTTTACTTTTTGCTATAAAATATATCCAATAAAAAAAATTAAAAAACAAAATGTTTTCGTAAATTTAGGCCAAAATGTATTCTGCTACATGTCTTGCTAAAAAAAAATCCCAATACATGTAAATTAATTGGTTTACGTGAAAGGTATAGCGCTTACAAATGGTGGTATATATACTGGAATTTGTATTTATTTTTCTATACTAGTAATGGTAGCAATCAACTTATAGCGAGACTGCGGAACTGCTGTGGGCATTCTAACACTGAGGGGAACTGTCTAATGGCCACTGACATCTCCAGTGACACTAATACAATGATCAGTGCTAATAAAAAGCACTGACACTATACTAATGACACTGGGCAGGAAGAGGATTACACTGGCGCAATCAAAGGGTTAACTGTGTGATGTGTTGTGCTACTCTGTGTGCTGTTTACTAGGGAGACATGCTGCTTTCTCTCTCTCTGTTGTGCACACAGATCTCTCCCCTCTCAGCTTTAGCGATCACCAAGTGCTAGCCAAGAATTGCCAGCCGGGACCCGGTTATTGATATCCGCTGCAACAGATGGCAGGGCAGGTAGGGCAGCACATGCGCGTGCGCGGGCCCTCTACCCAGAACTGCAAAATCACGTATATTTACATGACTGTGCGCAGAGCAGCCGCCCTGTAGCAGTATATCGGCTATAGGGCGGTAGGCCTAATATATATATATATATTATACACTTATCGGGATCTTTTTTTAACAAAGAATACATTTTGGCCTAAATTTATAAAGAAATTAGATTTTAATTTTTTTTTTATTGGATATGCTATATAACAGAATTTTTTTAATTTCGTAATATATATTGCAAAAAAAAAAAGGCCCAGTGGTTATCAAATACCACCAAAATAAAGCTCAATTTGTGTGAACAAAATGATGAAAACTTCATTGCACAGTGTTGCACGACAGTGCAATTGGCAGTTAAAGTAGCACAGTGCTGAATAGCAAAAAAAATGCCCTGATCCTGAAGGGGGTAAAACCTCCAGAGCTCAAGTGGTTTATCATTTCACAACATCCTGTCCAATGGTAGCACTGCTCCTCCAAAGATAAACTACAATGAGTAAGCGTTGTCACCCTAGAACAGAAAGTATTGTATTTGCAGGATCACCAGGCGAAAATAAATTCTAAAAAAAGAAAAAAAAATTCAAACACTACATCAAAGGACAGGTAAGCAGAAGTATATTACATTTGTGTTCTTGGGTTTAGATACACTTTATAGTACAACTGAAGACTCCTTTATGACAATCTAAACAAGTACCAAATCTAGTTACTATGTGATGCACAAGCCCTGTATAGTAAACAAAAAACTTCCTTTATCTTCATTGACTGAAACATATCATATATATAAATATCATATTCATTTGTGTCTCAAGTGCTCCTCCTCCCAGACACTGCAGCTCACCATTGGAGGGTCTCAGCAACAGAGGCAGTGCTGTCAATATAGAAGGTGTGCTGATTGACAAGTTAGAGGCTCACATCAGCTACAGGCTAGGACAGTGGTTCTCAACCTTCCTAATGCCGTGACCCTTTAATACAGTTCCTCGTGTTGTGGTGACCCCCAACCATAAAATTATTTACCCAGTAATTATAATTCATGAGTGTCGTTTTACCTCCAATACTGCTGCTTTCAACACAGTAGCAGCTGCTTTTAACAGAGTAGCTGCTTTCAACACAGCAGCTGCTTTCTACACAGTAGCTGCTCTTTACACATCGGAAATATGTGTTTTCTGATGGTCTTAGGGGACCCCTGTGAAAGGGTCGTTCGACCCCCAAAGGGGTCGCGACCCACAGGTTGAGAACCACTGGGCTAGGAAGTGGGGACTATTGTAGTGGGCTATTCCACCAATTTTTACGATTGGCTTCTATAGCCATTGCATCCAATGTCTCCCACTGTTTGTTGTCAT